TACATCTGATAAGCAATTATACCAAAAGTACTTAATACAATGACATGTAAACCAAATATTCGTCATATATGATTAAAAAGTGAAGGAACCACAACTTCCGGACAAGAAAAACATTAACAACACAATTGATATACTAATTATGTAAACAGAGATGGAAAGTGGAATCCAGAATGCGCAATACGTTTTATTTGTGGCTCGTAAGACGGATGTACCTGTATCCTTGTGACCCAAGATGTTATCGAGGCAATGTGCACTGGATATACATATGCCAATAAGAAACCGACCAATCGCAGTTATAAACATCAACAGGAAGATTCAAACAACCAATATGAAAATGAATGAATTATGTAAACATTAAAAAAATACGGAGACAGAAAAATATTGATTCATGTGCGCGAAAACAAAAGACTCATTATTTGTCTATTCAGTCATAAATACGCGTTAACCTATGTATAACAATAAGAGTAGTCAAGTGGATAGAACTGGAAAGTTATGTTTTAATATAGGGAAGAAAATTTATGTAAAAATATTATATATGGCTTATTATTATCACAGTTACTAGTATGAGCGTTGATGTCTAATCGAACAGTGATGTAAATGGGGTAATAAGGATATTTACAGGAACGTGAATACGAGTTAATAATAATAACAATAATTAATAATAATAATAATAATAATAATAATAATAATAATGACTTCATACAAATCTGAATAAAATTTTCCTTTAAGTGAGTATCTTAGGCATTATTATATGGAAATAGAATGATAGTTGTCGATCAACAGACAGGATAAAGTTAAGCAAGATAGGTGTTTAATTTTTCTTAAGGAAAGATTTGTTACATTTAAATAAAGTTGAATAGTGGCCAGCAATTAAACCCTAGACACACGTTTCTTACAATTCTGGACACGTCAGGTGGACTTAATTGTATTCCAGTATTAATGAGACTATATTTAAAACATGAGAGTTGTTATAACTGTGAGAGAGGGACGTGCAATTTGAGGAAAGAGAGAATTATTGATCGGACCAAAGAAGAGAAAATACGTGCGAGCAGCCTCGAGTTCTGATTGGCCTTGCTTCCCTGTCTAGCCCCGCCAGCTGAGTCCAGAGCACAAGTCTCAGCCTCGGTGATATGAATCATTATATTTCAAACATACTCTATATACCAAACAAACAGACTACATCGTACCATAAAATAGAAAGTAACGTTTGTATAAGATTTGACCTCCAGGAAATGACACAAATAAATATTGACCAATAGGGAAATGACACGTTGGAATGTTGACCAATGGGGCAATGACACTATTTCTCATTCAGGAGTGGCATTAGATAATTTCTGGGGTATTTTCTGAATACCCCAACAAGAGTATAATGAATGGATGTTTTTAAATCTCGTTTCGAACTTCACTAGAGTAGTGCACAGCTCATAAAATCACAATATAAATGTCAAATTTGTTAGGATGAGAAAAATAAGTGAAAATAACAAACTTGAGTTTTTTTTATTAAGGGATCATAACTTATATTTTTGAGTACCCAGCAAACATTTCGTTTGAGATTTGTAAGTTCTTTTAAATGCATAATTCCATTTGAATTATAATTTGTTATTGATATGGTGAGTTAATCAGAAGAAGCCTAATAAGAAGGTCAATCGATGACAATCGGAAATGACCTAAAGGAAAAGTGCATTTCATGGACTAAGAAACGGTTGATTACCTAAGAACAGAGTGGTATATATATATATATATATATATATATATATATATATATATATATATACGAATGTGTATTTGTGAATTTTATTCACTCGCTCAAGTAGTCAGTTGGGGAGTTAGCACGTAGCCGACCATGGATCAGCACCAGATTTCGAACACCACCCGTCACAATAGTTATATTATCCAATGTTAGAAAATTACTGTAAAGTTATTCTGTAAATACCCTAGTTAAGCAAATGCAATTTCTTATTTATACTGCTTGACAGTCTTGTAAATCAACTATACAATCTCGTCAATTTTTAATCAGATTCTATGTGCACAAATAAGCATCATGATGTAAAATCATTTAATCAGTGCATCAATATTAGTAGTTTGCATTTAGAAATTTAAAGTAACAACAAAATCAAAAAGTTTTATATGATTAATGAACATGAAACAGTTGGTTTTACTGGGCTATAAAACATCTAATCATGATCTATCTATTTGACCTCATCAGATTTGACTATTCTAACTAATATTTATTGTCATTCAGTAAGTGAATAGTATGAAATTATTAATCTATAGAAATAAGAAATGTATAGATATTTTCAAAGTGTAGCAAATATTTTCAGTTATAAACTTATGTAGATCAACACGAAATATCTAATTACATCGAACATTTAAAAAAATTTTCCCACTTCTTAATAAAAACATCAACCACCGACATAAAAAATATGAAATTTCCTGTTCAAAACAATTAGTTAGGCTACATCGAAATTGTTAAAAAATGAACAATGTTTGGACAAAACAATCAGTCGGTGTTATTTCATACTAGATAATGTTTATAACTAGTATAGTAACCTCGTTTTAACAAATCAACAAAATGAATTCATTTTTGTGATTGAGTTTCAAGATTGTGAAACAAAATATTACCAAAATAACATTATCTGCAAAATATGTACAAACAGATTTTGAGCATGTTTATTCATCCATTTTGCAAGGCTCAATAGTTATGTTGTATTCACTATTTTTTCTGGCACTTCGTTTATTTAGTGTGTGAGTGCTGTATATAAAAGTGTACATTTCAATGATGGTTTTATTAGAAGAATTTAAAGTTCTTCCCACATCTGTCTGCTAAGAGCAGTCGGTATAGATCATGTCAGAGTACCGAATGAAGAAAACTAATTTAGTGAAGCTTAAGGTTTGAAATAAAATCTCAAGTGAAAATTTTACTCTTATATGCAATACTAACTTATTAAATACGCAGAATGATGTCTGGAAATGCCGGATACTATACATTCGTTGAAAATGGACAAGTAATCTCACACCAAATTTAAGCATTCAGTTTATGGATACAACTCATTAAAGGTAATTTTAAAATTATTATTATTTTATTTTAACACATAGATATTGGTACAAGGAGGCACCAAATATATATATGCGCCACACAGATCTCATTTGATATGTGTGAAGGCTATGATACTGCCCGTGTGCCACACTCCGAGCCTTCGACCTAAAGGTCTGATCCACAAGGCATTGGAGCAGCGTCACAAGATACAGTCCCATGGTAGCCAGTGACCAACGATTTGTTCATACGCCATTTATTCCTTCAGGATACTGGAACCCATGTGCGCCATTGCTTTGGAATTAGGGTTTTCTAACTCCCTAGGTGAACTCTCCATGTCCACTAAGCCGGTTAAAGTGCCGGATATTCGCTTTTCGTCCTCTCAATTTTGTAAACAACACCCCCGCCGCGAGAAGGCAGTGAGTAGGACTTCCCTGACAAAGGCTTTATTCGCGTGGCCATGTGAGAGCATTTCGAGAGGGAGAGCGGACTCTCCCCACTCTCGGCCGTACCAGGGCATTTGGGGGCGATTTTGAAATAACCCACACTCTCTTGTCCTTACGAATAATTAGTGAAATGAAATGGCAAATTATTTGTGGTATCTATGTAACATAAAACAATAAATATGACAAACTAAATTGTCACTGACTAGATCCTAATGTCACATAGATATTAAGGGGAAAGAATATCATATTATTATGAAAAATTTACCCGGTTGAACAGTATTATTATTATTATTATCATTTTGATATCAGTATAATGGAGGTCAGTCAATCTCACAAAGTATCATTGTGCATCATCTACAGATTACGAAGAACAACAAACATGAATTATCATTATCATAAATTATAAAGTTGTTCCTATATGATAAATATGAAGCATATCAGTTGTCTCAAGATTACAGATATGCGCGTTGTTGTTGAGAAGTGCCAAGTGTTGGAATTTTGAAGTGTCTAGTGCCATGTGAACATTAAAAATTAATGTACACGATGTCAAGTCATTTAGACCAGTGGATATATTATTGCAAATTGATCGGTAAAATTGAATCGTCACTAAGGTCTAGACAAACAGAAAATTAGTTGGTAACATTTCATTTGTTCTGCATAGGACGAAAAGCGAGTCTTATATTCCAATGTTAGGCATTATTGTACCCTAGTAAAAAGTTGTAAACGAATCACAATACTAAGATAATCCCATCAAGATGCACAGATGTCAATGGAGGTTGACCAATTACAATACTTAACAACGGAAAAAATGCTAAACCAATACTATAAGTTTCCTGTAACTAATACAAAAATATTGGTCAATCTTCAACAACTAATTGGTGCATATCATGATCGGATGAAAAAAAATAATCCAGTGAACATAAACTACAAGAGATCAACATTCAGAGGTATATACTAGATTTAAAAGATAATCAAAGAAAAAATGTCAAAACATACGAACGGTACATTTCGAAACTTGATTGTTTCATGCCAAAGCCGTTTATTATTTAACTCAAAATCAACTACAGACGCTTAATAATAGAAAAATGTGCAATTTTTGAGCAAAAAATAGGGCACATAAAAAAACAACACGCAATTGATCTACACACAAGTAGATCAGTTGTACATGAAATGATTGCAAAACACTCATACATAAAACTAACATGAGTTAATATAAATAAAGGTTTATGCACAAATCACTTATTACGTGTTTAAATTAAACACAAACAAATCATCATTATTCAATGTGAGGATGTTTTCAGTTACTTCATGAAATATGTGCATGTGAGAACAGTCAGGAAGAAAACAAAGGGATAAATAATGGAGAAATTAAAGTACACTATTTTCTGCAGTATGACAAACAAAAATGGTGTATCAACAGAAAGTGAGGGATGAAATAACAAGAGATGAGTACATTAAACAAAATCAGCAGAACAAGATGTCAGTGGCTGTTCTCAAACACACGTGCCAAAGTAGCTTACATGTTTGTGATCGATCAAGTGTCCAATTTCGGTTACCCAAATGAATAAATTCCATTGAATAACCGATTGGATGCTTATAACGTGCAGGTGAACTTGATATATGCCTAGAAGCAGCTGAAAGGAAAAACAATTCCATGTTGTTGTTTTTTTCAATCAAAAGTTTAATATGAAGAAACAAGAGAGAAAATGAGAGATGAGATCAGTAAACTTAGAATGAAACTAAGAAGAAGAAAGTATTCATGTTAGAAGACAAAACAAGTAAACAAACAAACATTTTCATGAGAAGTAACAATGGTTTGTAATCTCCCATTATTTTATATCTAGGACTGCATCTCAGGGTGTATGTATGTAAATAGACTGATTAAATGCTGTTATGAATATAATAATAACATGGAGTTACAAACTTTTAAGAATATTTTTACACCTATAGAACAAGTTATTGACCAGCTGGACTCAGAAGCTTAATCCGTAGGGAATTCGGAGTTAAAAGCGCTTGGTTCGAATCATGTTAGTAACAGTAGCAACACTATGATGTAGGGATATCCAACTAATGAGTCCCAGACAAGACGAAACGTGCGTCCTGGACTCCACTGCTAGCCACGTTCTAAGTTTACTTAGAAATCTACTCTTTCTTTACTTATTTTATCACAAGTGGAAAAAATTTATGTTAAAAATCGGAGCGAAGCGTCAAAAAAATAAATGCGATGAAGGTTAAAGACAGGGATAGCAACCATAGAGAATTATCAAAAGATTAATTAATCTATTTTGTGTGTGACAACGGATTTTACAGATTCAGTTGAAATCTAAACATACGCACATAAAAAACTTAGTATTTAACAAATCAGTGAACTGACTAAATTAGACTTAAGACCCTCGGAACTTGTTGGTATATACTCACCTAATGTCAGAACAACTCCTATAACAATACTCAAACTATTCAACAGTAGATAGTTCTGCTCACGTCTGTCAAAGCGAAGTTAGCGGTCCCGTAAATTTCTAAATTCTGCCAGTAACAAGCAAAATAAATTTGCTTTTCATAAATTTCCACTACCAACAAACAGTACGACTAAATTTCACTTTATCTGCTATTTAGTAGCAATCATTTACGACCACTATTACGTCCACAACTAAAGATGAGCTTCTGTTTTAGCAACATAACGTTCAAAGAATCGTTAATTTAGGTTTTCGGTATAGAAGTTACTCATAATGTGGTGGACAGTCAGCATCCTAGTTCGGTGCATCCCCCTTAATGTTTAAGTGATTTTTTCGATCTTCCATATAGTTAAAATTAGGTGAACATTTAAATTATTGGTAGATAAAGCAGTAAAATTATAGCATAGGAATGAGTCAACCAGAATTGAGAAAAATACTTTTAAATGCTTGCAACACATTCAAAAACGAATGAGTATCTTTCACGAATTGACAGACTCCTTCGAGGTAAATACCGGTGTTAGGCAAGGTTGCTTGCTCTCACCCTTTCTCTCTCTCCTGGTGATCGACTGGATCATGAAGACATCAACATCTGGGAGAAGGTATGGGATACAGTGGACAACTAGGATGCAGCTGGACGATCTAGACTTCGCAGATGATCTGGCTCTTCTATCGCAAACGCAACAAAAAATGCAGAAGATGACCAGTGTAGAAGCAGTAGGTCTGAACATACACAAAGGGAAAAGCAAGATTCTCTGATACAACACAGCATGCAACAATCGAATCACACTTGACAGAAAAGATTTGGAAAATGTAAAAACTTTTACATATTTGGGCAGCATCATTGATGAATACGGTCGAACTGATGCAGATGAGAAGACGCGGACCAGAAAAACAAGAACAGAATATTTACAACTGAAGAACATCTGGAACTCAAAACAACTGTCTACCAACCATTACCAAGGTCAGAATTTTCAATACAAATGTCAAGACAGTTCTACTGCACGGGGTGGAAACTTGGAGAACTACGAAAGCCATCATCCAGAAAATACAAGTGTTTATTAAAAGCTGTCTACGCAAAATACTTCGGATCCGTCGACCAGACACTATCAGCAACAACCTACTGTGTGAAAGAACAAACCAGATCCCAGCGAAGGAAGAAATCAGGAAGAAGAGCTGGAAGTGGATAGAACATACATTGAGGAAAGTACCCAACTGCGTTACAAGGCAAGTCCTCAAATGGAATCTTCAAGGCCAAAGGAAAAGAGGAAGACCAAAGAACGCATTACGCCGAGAAATGGAGACAGTCATGAGAAGACTGAACAAGAAATGGATAGAACTGGAAAGAAAGGCCCAGGACAGAGTAGGTTGGAGAATGCTGGTCGGCGGCCTATGCTCCATTGGGAGTAACAGGCGTAAGTAATTAAGTATCTTTCACCACAAAATACATCGAAGAAATATTATAGTGTAGTCCTCAGAATGTTTAAAATTGTTAGGAACTGTTTTCTTTTTATCACCAAAGGGTAAAAATAACAATATTAAGCTTGTCAAGTGATGAATTTTTTTCCATTCAGAGATTTTACAAAACACAAGAATCATTTGGTTTATATCAAAATTTACCTTGCCTGAAGTAAAATCGCAGAAATCGCTTTAATAGTAATTATGTGCCTAAATACATTCGATTGTCCCCATTGGTGTTCTGTTCACTACAGGGGAACTGGCGAATCAATAATGCCGAAATGAATAAACAAATTTTGCGCCCATGCTTCTATCTCAGTAACCATCCAGAGGATTCTTTAATAAATTTTATGGACTGATAAATTCTACTATAAGACTATTAATGACTGGAAGGAACTCAGAAAAAAAACATCATTAATGTGAATACATTTACATTCAGATTATTGAGGCTATACAGTGATATTATTACAATATGAAGGTCAGAAAACTGATAATAAACCGATAAACCTCATTCAATAGGTTTCATTACTTTTAATTTATACAAACTTTCTAATCATCAGCTAATAGCTAGCTTCAAAATAATCCAAACATTTTAAAAATGCTACAGGACAAACGATAACGTTTTTACATGTATTATTATTATTATTCACAAATATCCCACCCATGTAGACTAGGGAATATATTATGTGAAAAAAAGGAAGCTACGATTCCAAACAATGTAATACAAAAAGTATTACTGAAATGCATCATCGATGTGAATTTTAAATTTTATATACAAACACATAGATGGAAATGCAGCGGGTTTACCGTTAGGTCTCATGTTAACGGACATTTTTCTAGCAAAACTAGGGAATGGTCTACTTAAACACATTTGACTGTCCGTATATGGATGAAACGTTTAACCTCCGTAAAGACATTGCAAATAGAAATTCTCAGGCAATTAAGTTTACATTTGAAGAGGAATGTGAAGGTAGGAAAACCTTTTTAGGCATCATATTAAAAGAGGAGCTGATGGATTAATGTAAGGGGATTTAAATAGGAAAAGCACCTAGACAGGAGAGTAAAAACGTTCCCTTAAATTAAGGAATATCTTAATGGTTAACCGCTATACGCGCGGTCTGTTCAGCCATATGTTGAATACTTAAGAAATCATTATGAACATTAAACTTCATTTATGTGAGGAAGACAATTACATGCAGTTATTACAACAGTATTCAAGAACTATTGTACCACTTTCTAAAGACCATTTGGAGCACCAAGTCACAATTAGATACGTATCAATTAGTACTCCTTATTACCCAATCGGAAGGAAGTAAACTGATGGAATGGGAAGCTGGATGATGACAATTGTTGAAAATCAATTAACATTCGTGGGTTGATCAACCAATATCAAAATACTAAAAATATTAAACATTAATCAATCAACAAATCGATAAGTTTACGAAATAAAATAAAACAAACAATCAATGAAATGAGAAAAGATCCGATTTTGTGAAAAAGAAAATACAGAGTATACAAGAGAATAGATAACACGGAATCGAATCAAGATAGAAGTGTGAAGAGGAGGGAAACAAGAAGAAGAAAAGTAGATATCTTGTTTATTTGTTATTAATTGATTTAATCATGAAAATTTTGAAATCGTTTTAAAACAAAACAAAATTAATCAAGATGAATTTGTGCGGGGTGAAGTAATATACAGAGTGAAAAATAGAATGAATATAACAGTTTTGTCCTAATATAAGAATTTACATGTTCAAGCGGTCCCTACTTTGATTCTCAGTGTTCAATGATGTAGGAGTAGGTTATAAGAAGAAAGTTAGGGATGGCCAAATCAAGACATGACTATATTAATAGGTGAACACTACCAGATGAAAATCTATTTTGATTGTCGTAAAGCTTGATTGGAGACGTCTCATCCTATGTGGAACTAGACAGCTCACAATGTACCTACATCCAAGCGTTCGTGTTGACATCGACACTCCAACCCAGTACCTCTCGATTCAAATTATTCAGTACAGATAGACACTCATTTATGCAAAAAGTATGCTATTTATATTATTATTAAAGTTATCCCGTTGTTGTTAATCTTGACTAAAATTTGACCAGTCTAACTAAATATATGTGTATTCTGTGTAGAATGGCCTCGATATTTTGTCACAAGTTTTTATATAGAACACAATTATAAATTGACTAATTACAGAAAATTTACTTCTTCAGTAATACGATAAATTATGTTGAGAAAGCGATAGAACAATGAGAATAAGCAGACAGAACAAAAAGTAACCATAGGAAACAGGTAAGGATTGGAAATCAATATGAACAAGGTTAATTCTATGACAGGAATATCCATGTATATTAAAACTATAAATGATAATGCTTAACAGACTAGGCTGATATATTACATATTATTACAAGTTGAATTGAAGTATGCAACTTATTTACTAAATATTAAACACAAATAGAAGTTAGATCTTATGTTAAGTCAACTGAGGTAAATACAAGACAATATTGAAGAGTGGTCATTGAAAAAGTTGAGCAATAGAAACTTGATAATTAAATATATTTGTGAATTTATAAAAATTAGTTGTATCTCGTCACGAACTGATGCCAACTAGTGAACTGTTCAAAACTAACGGATACTGAATTTTATCTATTTATTTTATAGATATAAATTTTGGTAAAATGTAGTCGTTAAACATCCTTAACTACAAAAAGGTCAGGTTTCA